TCCCAAGTAGCTGGGACCACAGGCGCCCGCCACAACGCCCGGCTGTTTTTTGGTTGCAGCCATCATTGTTTGGTGGGCCCAGGCTGGGGATTCGAACCCGCCACCCTAGGTGTATGTGGCTGGTGCCTTAGCCTCTTGAGCCACAGGCGCCGAGCCGTGAGAATTTCTTTATGATATTTTTGAGGCTTATCCAGATCCACCAAAGGGACAGTGAGAAATGAGCAGGCAGTAGGCAAGTTGCGGGGAGCAGAGGAGAACTTGAAGAAGGAAGAAAGTGGGCAATAGGGGTATGAAAGCTTTTGAAGAAGGTTTCAAGAGAAGAGCCTCCGGGCAAAGTAGAGAGGGCTGATCCCAGAGAGTAGTCGAGCTGCCCCTGCCAAGTGCCCCACCAGCGCGGGGAGGAGCCCCACGTCCCGCCGCGCCCGCCCCCGGCGGCTGCGCGTGCGGCGGGGGTAGAGGCGTCCTGCGCACCAGGAAGTGACTTCCCGGTCACAGCCAGCCGGGCCGTTCGCTGGTCTTTTGGTTTGCCGCCTCAGGTGTGTAAGAGGATTTATTGGTTACGAAGGAAGGTAAGGTGGGGGTAAATAACCCGGAAATCCCTATTTCACCCTTGCAGTACAAAAAACTGCTTACTGTGCCAAACTCCCCTCCGGGCCGGGATTTGAGAAGTCAGGCGGCGGTGGTGACGGGATCCAAAGCCCAGCGTCTTCCCGGGTTCTAACTTCTATGCCTATCCTCCACCATTCTTTGCTTCCCCGGGCCCTGCAGCCTAGCCAAGTTCAGTGGTAGTCTGTCCTAGCGTCTCCCTTTTGTTAATAACCTTTAGAGTAGACAGGGTGGGCCGAACTTGTCCAAAAGGGAATGAAGGAGTCTACTGGGGGAAGGAAGGAAGAGCCAGTCAGCCCTTCTGCCTGTCTGGTTTAGCAAGGAACAGTGCCTGGGGCCTGGCCAACTAAAGGAAGGCTGAACAGAGAGTGCAAGCAGGACCCTTGCCCAGTGGGTGAACATTTTGCTCAAGGGGATCCTTGGCCTTGCACAGATCAGACCTACCACAATAGTCTATTGGATTTGAACCTCTCTGAGCACTTCTTGAGGCAGGTTATTTATTCATTGAAGCCCAGGAGAGTTAATTTTACCTTAGTATCAGGTGATTCTGGGCTCTGGGGCCCTTTCCAATCACTTCCTGAGGCAGGAATTGTCTGGAAATCCTGGAATAGAGCAAATGTCATACTTAAAATCCCATCATTTAGGTCAGGCATGGTGGCTCATGCCTGTAATCCTAGCATTATGGGTGGCCGAGGCAGGTGGATTGCCTGAGCTCACTGGTTCTAGACCAGCCTGAGCCAGAGTGAAACCCCATCTCTAAAAATAGCTGGGTATTGACTCCGCTCAATCGGCTAAGGCGCCAGCCACATACACCTAAGGTGGCGGGTTCGAATCCCCAGCCGGGGCCCGCCAAACAACAATGATGGCTGCAACCAAAAAATGGCCGGCGCTGTGGCTGGCGCCTGTAGTCCCAGCTACTTGGGAGGCTGAGGCAGGAGACTCGCTTGAGCCCAGGAGTTGGAGGTTGCTGTGAGCTGTGAGGCCATGGCACTCTACCCAGGGGGATAGCTTGACACTCCGTCTCAAAAAAAAAAAAAAATAGCTGGTTGCTGTGGCAGGCACCTTAGTCCCAGCTATTCTGGAGGCTGAGGCAAGAGAATCGCTTGAGCCCAAGAGTTTGAGATTGCTATGAGCTATGATGCTGCCACAACACTCTACCAAGGGCAACAAAGTGAGACCCTGTTAAAAAAAAAAAACAACAACAACAACAATCATTTTTTTAAAACAGGAAAAAGTATAAAAAGAAAATTGTCTTTTCTGTGAACAAATGTCCCCTCTGACATTAAAGAACTAAGAAACAGGCTCGTTTCTGTAATTCTAGCACTCAGGGAGCTGAGGCAGGAGGATCTCTTGAGCTCAGAAATTCCAGATCCTCTCTCTACTAAAAATAGAAAAAATTAGCCAAGTGTTGAGGCTAGTACCTGTGGTCCCAGCTACGCAGGTGGCTAAGGCAGGAGGATCACTTGAGCCCAGGAGTTTGAGGTTGGTGTGAGCTAGACTGATGCCACAGCACTCTAGCCTGGGCAACAGAGTGAGACTCGGTCTCAAAAACAAACAAAAAATTTTTTTTCACATAATTCTTATCCTCACAGCACTTGCATGCATTATTACATTTGGTCAGTTTTGCAAATTGGAGACATTAAGGCATAAATATAGCAAGTGACATACCTTTGAATCAGAGCCTAAGGAAGGGCAGTGACAAGTGTTGAGCACTTGCTGTGTTAAGTACAGTTCTGAGTACTTCATATATGAACTCATTTAATTCTCACCACAGGGCAGCGCCTGTGGCTCAAAGGAGTAGGTTGCTGGCCCCACATGCCGGAGACTGGCCAGCCCCAGCCGAAAAAAAAAACCAGCCCCAGCCAAAAATTGCAAAAAAAAAAAAAATTCTCACCACAACCTTGAAAGGTAGTAGATGTTGTTAGTTCTATTTGTATAGATGGTGACACTGAGATTCATAGTGGCTTAAGTAATAGCTAGTGAGAAATAGAGCTGGGATTAGAACTTGGCTCCAAAGCCTATGTTCTTAGCCGTGACAACTTTTTGCCTTTTGCTCGGGGGTTGGGTGGAAGATGCTGTTCACACCTGAACTCTTGGCTAACTTAAATATCTTCTGTTAGAAATTTGAAACCCCCCCAAATGATTACATGTTATAACACTTGTTTTAGTACTTTTTTTTTTTGGCTGCGGCTAGGTTTGAACCACCACCTCCGGTATATGGGGCCAGTGCTTTACTCCTTTGAGCCACAGGTGCCGCCTTTTGTAATCATATAAAATGGTATATAGGTTAAATACTACAGTATACTTGTAAGCATCCTCTAGGTTACCCATTGATCATGGCATACTAATTTAGCAATAGTAGAGGGAGCCATGGAGGAATCTTTTTTAATAAATCCATTGCATACATTAGATTTAATTTTAATTTTTTTTTTTTTTGAGACAGAGTATCACTTATTAACCCTCGGTAGAGTACCGTGGTGTCACACCTCACAGCAACCTCCAACTCCTTGGACTTGGAGGATTCTCTTGCCTCAGCCTCTCAAGTAGCTGGGACTACAGGTGCCCGCCACAATGCCTGGCTATTTTTTTTGTTGTTGCAGTTTGGCCGGGGCTGGGTTTGAACCCACCACCCTCGGTATATGGGGCTGGCGCCCTACACACTGAGCCATAGGCGCTGTCCTTCATTTTAATTTTTTTGGAGATAGAATCTTATTTTATTGCCCAGACTGGAGTACAGTGGTGTGATCACAGCTCACTAGTCTCCATTTCCTGGGCTTGAGTGATCCTCCCACCTCAGCCTCCTGAGAAGCTGGAATTACTGGTATAAGCCACTGTGCCTAGCCTGGGTTTTATAAAAATACACACACACCCAGGGTGGACATACAGTTCATGTGCAATTTAAAATAGTTTAACATAGTAAATTACACACAAACTTCATGTATACCCTGTATATATATGTACATGCGTGTATACAAGGGTCATCTGGAACGTATGCAGCTATGTATGTCTCTATTTTTCATATTCCATGTCTGGATACTTTCCACATAGCTTTCATATATGTATGTATATCATTCTGAATTAAGCTATGACTTAATATTGAGATGCAATCCAAGGTAGAGGTCAAGGGTAAAAAGATAATTTCACGGAAGATCAGTAGTGTGTTAGGCCAGGGTGTGTTAGGCCAAGTCCTTTCACATGTTCTGGGTATTTAAAAAAGGTGCTTACATAGTAGTGGACAGACACTGTAGGTAAATAGGCAAAAAGGTGAGAGTCCTGTGTTGGAATATGAGGAATCCTTCCTTTTTCCAAAGTGATGCCCTCCACTTGTGTTCTCAGAGTCACTTGTTTCAACTCTTTCAGCTTTTGTCTCATAGTTACTCCCACTATTTCTTCCCCATGTTCCCTTCCTCTTTCAGTATTGCCCACCCCCTTCTCAGTTCCATACTAACTTTTTTTTTTGAGACAGAGTCTCAAACTGTTACCCTAGGTAGAGTGCTATGGCATCATAGCTTGCAGCAACCTCCAACTTGGGCTCAAGCAATCCTCTTGCCTCAGTTTTTTTTTTTTTTTCTATTTTTAGTAGAGACGGAG